AAATAAATATGTATATATTGTGTTGTAAATTTTTATTTTTAAATTTTGGATGATGTTAGTTTTTATTGGTTGAATAAAGAATGCATATTTAATAGGTTTAAATATGATTTTATTTATAATTTTAATTTCAATTAACTTCATTATTACAATAATTTAATGGCTATATACATGCTTATGTGTCAATTACGATTAATCATTTGGTAACTATATACAATTGAATTATACCACATGATGTAAAGTGCAAATTGCACACTAATATAAAATGATAAGAAAATTTTACTTGAATGCAACAATACCCAAGTATTATTGCACATAAATGGTATAATTTATCAACAAGAGATTTTTGTCTTGAATTATTATGTCAATAGATAAACAATCTATAGTATTAATTTTACTCATTTTAGCTAACCTTTAACCTTCATCTGGCTTATCCATGTGTCACTCTATTCTTATTTTTTTCTTTTCTTTCTTTTACAGCCCAATACATAATAACTTTTCATTCTTCACACCATTTACAAGTTGCCTTCTCTTTTTTTTTTCCTTCTTTTGCCCACTACCTAATTGATCATTTTTTTTCTTCACATAATTTTTTATATTCATCTTCTCTTTTATTTTTCTTTACATCTCCTTTTCCTACCCATAAGAATCTAATCCAAACAATTAATTTTGTAAAGATTTAAAAGAAATGAAGTTGCCTGTATCACTCCAACCCTTCCATTAAGCTACTTTATTTTTTTTATTTTTCTCATGATTTTTAACTTCTCATTTCCTTAACATAAAATTTTTTTTTTTTTAATCTTTTTCCTAGTTTTTCCCTTTCTTTTCTCCAAATGAAAGCAATACCAAACATCACACTTTTTGTTTTCTCCCACATGTCATGATTTTTTATCATACTTTAAATTCACCTAACACTTCAGTTTTTTTTAACAAAAATATTGTTTTCATTTTACTTTTTTTTTATGAATTTTTATCAAAATGGAGAATTTAGGCTTTTTTCATTTTGAAAAAAAAAGTTTTGATTTAGAAGTAAGAGGACGGGTAGGTGAGAAAGAAAAAGATTTGACATAAATATTAGGGGTTAAAGAAAAAAAAAGAAAAAATTAGAAGAAAGAAGGATTGCCTAGTTAGAAGACTGAGCAAGAGAGAGTAAGAAAGGGAGTGAAAAGGGAAAGAAATAAATAAAAGGATAGGGAAGCAAAAAAGGGACAAATAAAATAAAAAAAAAAAATGAAAGAGATGTATGGAGGCAATGGCGGAAAGAAAAAGAGAGAAAGAGAGAGTAAGGTTGATTTTTTATCAAGCTTGGGCACCAATTTGATGGGTACCGAGGCAAATTAGCTCATTCCTTAGCCCAAAATAGTAATTGTCAGATTTTATCACTTGATGATGCATCCAAGGAAAGAAAAGAAAACAAATAAGAAAAAAAGATTAAAAAAATAATTTTTTCTTAAATGAAATAATAACTATAAGTATGATTTAATTTATTTTTTTTGTATTTGCTTTTTATCTAGTCTTTGTTTCATTTATTTTGCAGTTATTATTTTATTTTTAATTAGATTTACTAAAATTTTTTTGTCTGATATGTTAAACTTTTTTTTTCTTAAAGGAAAAGAGATTCAAATACTTAGTCTATACATATAAACAAAATAATTCATGATAGATCCTCAAAAATCTTGTAGTTAAATAGGAAATCTTTATCAATAAACTGTAATTCTCTTTTAAATGTGCTTCTAGTTTGGGAGAAAAGGTATCCATTTATTACTAAAATACTTGATCTGGCATGATTGTGCCTTTGACATGCAAAATAGAGAATTTGGTTGCTTTGGGGCAAGAAGGACTTTGATATTAACCAATCAGTAACAACTATTTAGATTAAATGAAGTTCATATTGAATAGGACCCTGTTACTTTTTTTTATGAAATTTATGTGTGAGTTGTAAGTTATCAATTAAAAAAATTAAACTTAAGAAAGAGAAAGAAAGAACAATGAGAAATGAATAATACATTAGTTTTATGTTATGTCGAATTTCTTCTTTTTCTGACTTTAGTTTCTTTCCTTCATTCTATAGGTTTTTTTTTTTTTGTTATTTTATTTTGTATTTGACTCATTTGATCATATTTATAATTTCGTTTGCTTGCTTGGTTTGACTGAATTTCTTGCTTATTGTTTATGATTGTATGACTAATATATTATTATATGATTTGCAAGATATATTGTTGCTAGATGCATTTTTAATCTCGGGTAATCATGTACTATCTTTTCCTCCTCTATATAAATGTGTTGCATTTATTGCTGTTTTCCTTGCTTGTGTCAAATATGCTTATAATGCTTCATTTGATTTTTTTTTATCATTTATTTTAGGTCATTTGTTTGTTATTTGATGTTATATGCTCTTTATTTTAATTTTTTTAATAACTGTAATGTTTTTATTCCAAAATTCAAAATAAACAAAATGAGTCCGCAACAATGAAAAATGTTTTGCCTTCTCTAAGCATCAGTTCATTAGGATAATGCGCCAACCAATACTAAGAATTTTATCTTTTAACTTAGCTACATTAGAACCAAAACAGTTGCGGCAACTTGCCTGAAAAGCTCCTACTGAATCATGTGCTGCCCAATATGCTTCTTTAAGTTCTTCTCCCTCCATATATTGTAAAGTCCAGCAGTCTATGCGAATCTATGTATGGACTGTATTTTCAATTTTAATTTTTAATTGATTTACTCTTTTTTAATTTAAAATTGCTAGTAGTTTAAGTTGTTTTGTGAAGGTGTGACTCGTTACCCTCATGCATGGACTGTATGTTTGTGTTTTGAATTAATTTATATTTATGCCTCCAATGATATTGTGTTTAAATTCCTATTTTAACAAGTATGTTTCAGTTGATATTTGAAACATAAATATCAACTGAAACATACTTTAAGGAGTTAAGTGTATTTTTCATTAGTTTTTTATCTGTTATACATTCTTTATTTGTCAACAAGCCTTTAAGTTTCGTAATGCTATTTAATTTTATTCGTTAACAGGATGCATGATTTGAGTAAGCTCTTTGTTTTTTAATTTTTAGTATGCACATATGTTTCATAGTTGAGAAGAATCACATTAAATTTTACTAAGTTAAATGCCATTTGGATTGTGTCATAATGATTTTATCTTCGCTTCACCACTTTTAGGAATCATATAGTTAATCTTTGTTAAATAAAATTTTCATTATTTAAAAAAATATACAGTCATTAACTAAGCTAAACTAAGCTTTAAGAGAATAGAGAGTGCCTTTTTTATATGATGTTGCAATATGCACTGATGGAGGGGAAAGCTTATGTTTGTAATTTCATTATACTTAGCAGTTAAAAACCAAAGACACGTCTAAAATAATTAATTTATGATTTAATTAACTGTCTTACTGTTTGGATTATCAAATTAAAATGATATCTATACTCTCATGAAATTTTTTAAACTTTTTTTATTTACTTTTTTAATCTATACCATGTATTAAAAACAATTTCATGAGAGTTGTTTATTTTTACATGGTTGATTTTAATTGGTTTAAATTTATTTTTTATTAATTAAATGAACTATAATAGAAAAGACCAAACAAAATTAAGTTTCCAAAATTTTAATTGAAACTTGAAAGATTACTTTTATATAAAATAAAAAAATATATTCACACATTTTTATTAAAACAATGGTTCTTGACATATATCCTACCCAAAGATAGGGTCGAAAATTTTTTTATTGTTGAAAGTATTAAAGTGTTTTTAATGATTATGAATTGAATTAAAAAACATGGAAGCATCTGGAATCAGAGAGGGAAAAGACAAATTGAGAAAAGAGGAATAATGAAAAAAAAAAGAGAAGTGGTGATTACATAAAATAAAGGAGTTTGGCTTGAGAAGTTTGAGAAAAGCATGTTTAATTTTGAGCGTATGCTAAAAATTAAAAACATGGTATGATGGTTAATGATTATTCTTTCTTTCAAGGGTGGCAATCCAATTGTGGATTTTGTAATTAATTTACATCTAACAGTTATTTTATTTTCTAAAAATATTTTGATGCAAAATTTCTTATATTTTTATTTAATTTAATGTATTTTTTTTAGAGCACAATAAGAGCAAACAATCAAAATAGATTTAAGAAATATAAACTCTAAATTTATTTGTTATATTTGTATAATCTATTTTTAATTATTTTATTTTATATTTCTTTTATATTTTTTTAGGATAATATTGTTTTATTTTTATTTTATATTTATTATTATCAATTAACCAAAAAACCACACCTTTCAATTACCTGGCAAATTAAAAATGTCACAACAAATTGTGAGGTCTTGTACTAGTAAATATAAAGAGATTTTGCGGGATAAAAGCTAGAAGTAAAGGAGCTAGGATTTTGCGGGAATTCTTTTATGGTAAGCTTCGTAACCAAACTTCAATTAGTGGCTCCTTTCTATTTCTCTTTCAGTTTATTGCATTTGGAGAATTGACCCTTTTCAAAGAACAACTAATAAGCTTATGCTTGAGAGTCGTGGGAATATGTTGTTGCATGCTTTTAAGATGACCTTTTTTAAACTAACATCACCAATTACTTGTTTGTAACATCAGGTTTTGGGTGTAAAAGTTTAATTAATATTTGAATGGGACAATAGAATATAAGATAAGAACATAGAAGAAAGCATATGTTAAATTAGTTTTGGTTTATTTAATTTACCTACATAGCAAATAATGATACTTTAAATCATGCTTCATAGGATCTTTATAGGATGCAAGAAAAAATTAAATTACTCTAACAATAAATTGTAATTACAAAATAATATTTTTTGTCCATTAAATAACCAAGTTCTTATTAAAATTATATTAAATTTCTAAAACAAGTTAAATATGCGAAACCAAGATTTTGTTTTTATCTTTTTTAAAACTTTTAACTGAGGTAAGTTTCTTTTAATTGATGTTTGAATTAATTGCCCTGCTGCCATATTATTGCTTTCTACCTTATTTATAGCTGGATATTTTTATTCGTTTATAATCAAACTTGCTTGATATTTTCGTTGAATGACTTATCTTGAAAATACAAATATTTTTTTAAAATTTATATTAGCTTCATACATTTAATATTGGATAAAGTTAAATAAGGACAGCACTCTAAGCACAATTTATAATGAAACAATGCTCTGTCCCATGAGATTTTGTTGGGGTGTCCTGATTATTTTTCATGGCATTCAACATCCAGAAGCAGAAAATCACTCTCTCAATTACGTATACAGTCTCAGGCGCGTCGTTATCGGCCTCCGGCAAATTGGGCATGTTGAAATTGTTGCTCCACAATCCTTGCAAGTCTAGAACAACAAAAGATAAAATACAATAAACATATTGTCTGTTATCCATATAAACCATCCACAAAAACTGTTCAGAGTTGCATACAAAATATTCAATTTAGCTTTGTAGAACATCTGGTATGATTTAGGCCAGATATTTTAGCCATTTCATAGGCACTTAAACCAAGTATATTCAATGCATGATGAAATAAAAATGTTTCACGACTGCTAAAGGTGCTAACCATCTTGAATCATTCTATAAAAGGAAAAATTAAAAATTTTCTAATTTGCTTCAAATCAACTTTAAAACTTAACAAATTGAAACATGTCTAACCTAAAAACACCTAAACTGGTACTTAAGCATGTCGAATTAGTACTTGATCTGACCTAACCAATTATAAAGGAAATCTAAGTACTTAAATTAACAAAAGTGACCAATAGTAGAAACTATTACCAATCAGAAAATTCCAAGTTCATAATCATGACAATTCAAATTTTATATTTATCACAGCTCTCCAGTTATAAGGTTCATATGTGCATCCCACTTCTATTTTCTCCCTTGATTTTTGCTTTTTGGTTGATGTCTTCAAGAATAACCTTATATCTCCAATAGTTTACAGTTTTCCTTACTTTTAAGCTTTGTACTTGTAACGAGGTCCAATACTTTGCTCATTAAGTGTCCAAATTGACACAAGATTAATGAAGTGTCTTTTAAGTAAGATGCTTGTAGCTGATAACTTGCAATCTGTACTTTATGGAAAATATGGAGGGATGGGATGCTACAGTCATTTGACAAGAAATTTTAATCTATGGGCTTCCTAAATATTTCTCGTTACCTTAAGTTACCTCAAGATCTGCTCTATCCTCAGAAGCTCAAGGTTGGTCAAGGAATTAAAGGATGAAAAACTTGAAAATGGTGTTCCTAGTATCACTTTCCATTTTATTCTCTTCCCTCTATTGGATCTTCTAGCTGCTTTTGAGGGTGTATTGGGCATCTTTTGTATGTAATGATAAACACTATCATTCTCTGTTTTCTTCTGAGAGAAAAAATTACTAAGGAAAAGCTTATTGCTTATAAAAAGAAGTTGAAGGTGATCAAACGAAAGCAAATCATGTCAATTCATCAAATTAAAAAGCTTCTCTAGAAATATCCAACACTTAATTTTGACTAGTGACAGCAACCTAGAAATTTATTATGATAAGAGCTACCTAGATATAGAGATACCAACCTTGGAGCCAAAGCATTTTAATTATGAAAAGAAGTTGAAGATTAAAGCAAACTACTAATAGTTCATCAAGAGATTATCTCTAAATATGTTCCAAATGTAGTCACCTAAAATTTTATACAAACACCGTATTTTGACTTAGTGATAGAAATCTGAAAATTATGTAATTTGATAAAGATGCACCTACCATGTGACCGCATCCAAAAGCCATGTCCTTTGAATTTGTCAAGCAGATAGGGCAGACCTTGAAGAACAGAATGCATATCTCAACACCAATGTATTTATTTGAATAGAGATTTTGTGAAAAAGGGAGGAAACTTCACTGGTAAAAAAAAAAAAAAAAAACTATTACCGGTTCTGCTGGGGAGCTAGGAGCTGCTGGGGCTGTCGGCTCCACTGTTTGATAGTTTGTCATTTGTGGGATCGATTTAACAGCATTATCATGATCAATCACTTCTTGGGGAGGTGGAAGTGGCCTTTGGTGTCCACCTAATTCTCTACTGCATTAAGTTTTAACAGTTTTACGTTTAAAATTGTTCCAAACTGAAATTAGATATTAACTGAAAACTGGCTTTGGGCCTTACTTATCAAAACGAATATTCAGGGTAGCTCTGTACTGATATGGAATTTCCATGAGGGCAGCAAGAGCAAAAGCTGATTCTTTCTTTGATGTTTCTGTGTTCTCAGACATGATTTTTGTGAAGTTGACAAACTGCACAGAAATGGTGGCTCAGATGATGGAACATGTTAGGTTTTACTTACGGGCACAGAATGAGTTGGACTAGACAATCCTTTGTAAAGAGATCAGTATACATGAAAAATATATTGCAATTGCAATGTCAATCCTATGATGATGACCAAGAAATGCCCATGAAACAGCAATAGTAATACTGTTTAGATATGTACTAAAAAGTAAAATAAAGCTAAACTTAATACCAGAAAGGGTGCTCTTTCCGTATTGATTCAAAGACATTGCTTATGTACCTGAAAGTTATCAAAGGTGCGATGTGGAATATTATCATCAAATTGTTGCATTGAATCCCATGGTCCATCCCCCACTCCAACCAAAATAATTGAGAGAGGATAATGGCTGTTTATCAAATTCCATGATCAAGACAACAATAACACAATAAAATCTCAATCACTACAAGTAGCACTTCTTTACCTAGCAGCAACAATGGAATCTACGGTAGCCTGTTCTTGTGGACTAAGCCTTCCATGTGGTGTGTTAGGATTCCTTGTAACCTATGGAATCAAATAAACATCTCACGAGATTGAGCATAGAAGAATAAGAATACATGATCAAAGATTCAAAACTGAGTGCATAAAGAATTTTTTTTGGACCTGTCCGTCTGCAATAATGACAAGAACATGGTACTGGCCATTACTTCTATCCACAATGTCAATTGCAGCATTAATAATTGGAGCAAATGAAGTTGGACCTAGTAAAAAGGGTAAGAAATTATCATATTCAAATCTCTGCAACCATTCCGACGACTGTGATTAAGAGATTCGCTCAAACACATAGCATTTAATAGAAATCTCATATACCATTCAGTGCTTCTAACTCTGAACTGAAAATAGAATGCTAGTACCTATGACAACTAGGGAATCCACACAACCTAAAATTTGATTGATTGGTGGCTCAACATAACAAGCAAGTGAAAAAACAAAGAGAAATGAAATTGTAAACACTCTTTTTTGGAGATGAAAACATTTTTAAAAATTGGCATTACAATAATATTTTTCAAACAGAAATTTTTTACACAATCTGTTCTCAAAAGGAATGATAGAGCTATGATCTAAAGGTAGAAACTAAAGCAACAAATGAATAGTGACAACGTTAGGCTCCATTTGGTAGATTCTTTTGCTTTTTGCTTTTGAATTCCAAAAATTACAGTTTTAATCCAAAATCTTTCAAAGACATGTAGATACTGCCCTTGACTATCATCTAAATCAAGCAACTGACTAACTTTTTAGTTTTCTGATCCCTATCACATTAAATTTTTAAAAATTGGGACAATAGTCTATTTTCCAAACAAGTTCATATATTCCTGGGTCTATTCATCTGTTAGTCAAACAAGCTAGCATTGTTTGCTTTTGTTTTCCAAAAATTACAGTTTTAATCTAAAACCTTTCGGACAAATTGTTTGCTTCTGCATTCAAAATCTTGGTCAAATCATCTTTATTTTTGTATAAATACTTAATTTCCAATACACATACTTAAGTTTTTATATAAATATTTAATTTTTGTAATTCATCACCTTTCTTAAACTAGTTTCTTTGGATAATATATAATAAATAGTTCTCATTTTATGTGATACACAATAAATACAAATATATTTGGACATTCAATGTAAATAAAATTTTAATTGTGTACAGTAATTGTGAGAGAGTCAATGTGTCTAAAGAGGTAGCTATATGAATTTCATTATTGATTGATATTATCTAAATAAAAGATATTATAAAATTTAATTAATAATTTTTAAAAATTTAAATTGCAACCATTTTCACAAGAAAATTATAAAAAAAAATTAAGAATTTGAATAACATTTGTATAAATACTTTAACATAAAAGAAACAATTATGTAAAATTATCTATTCCTTCTTAACTTAGACAGCAATGCCCTCCCTTGTCCCCACCACTCAATCTTGGCTCCATACGAGAACATGGTATTTTTTTTTTCAAATTTATACAATTATGAAATTAAAACATGCATAAATGCATCAAATCTTCCAGAATTTTAATCCAAATTTTGAGTGTACTATTTACCCCATTTTTTTCTCCTGATTCAATTTAAGCATTTTCTTTTCTTTATCCTTAAACATAGCAAACTTGGACGCAACTAAATGTTGGGAAATGAAGTAAGAACATACACTACAAGGAGCGTAGGTGAATCTAATATAAGAATGTCACATTGAATGCTAATATATAAAACCTCAATATATCTTATGATTTATCAATTGTTCATACTAGTTATTACTTATGAGCATTAATATCTTTTAAGCAATAAATTTAGATAATAACCAAGAAATTCAAAATGACAATTTCTCAACCAAAGAAGTTAGAAGAAAATGATAGATATGTAAACCACACTCCACACATGGTGTAAGGCCTACAAAGAGCTCAAATAGGAAAAAAAAAAAAATAGAAGGGAAGATCTTAAAAACCTGCCAACTTTAAGTGTGGAACAATCTCTCTATACCGTCCAAGAGCTTCCTCAAAACCATGACAAGGTCGGTGATCAGGATAAAAGCTGAATACGGAATTATCATGCGTTGATGCTACCCAAAAACAAGCATAATAAGATAACTAACTCAAGAGAAAAATCACTGAGACAATTAATGCTATAAAATTGTACTAACCATCACCAAAACCAAAACAAGGTATTAAATTATCTTCGTCAAAAGGAGATAAAGTTTGGCCAATTATAGAGATTGCTTGCTCATATGGATTAGGTGAGCTACCAATAGCATGAAGGCTTCTTCTGTTGAATGAATATTTTCCTACAGTCAACAAAATGTGAGCTTCTTTCGCACTAATTATTTTTATAGTCTAAAAGAAACATATTAATTAGGGAATCAACTAGGGGACAGGAAGGCGAGGGACTACCTGTCCACTCATTGCTCTTTGTGAAGTCAATACCAAGTATTAAGTTGGATGATTCAAGTCCAGCCTCTCTCAATGCGGAAATAACCTAATTCATGTGTATAATACTTCTTGTTACCAAAAGCAATCCATCAAAAACACATATAATAAATGAAATAAATACCATAAGTACAATTGCACATGCAACCTAAAGTGAACCATCATAACTTATAATCTAAAAGATGAGAAATAGAAGAGAATGCATCATAATTACATTTTTTTCCCTTATAATCAGCGCCAATTTCAAATCTCACGTACTAATGTAGTCATTGTCACACATGCTTATAGAAATAATTATGAAAATTCTTAAAAGGCACTTTTTTTTTGCACTCCTTAAAACTCCAAAACCCTCTAGCGAATAGTAGTTCAAGGTCAGAATTTGATTTGGTTTCAATGACTGATATCCAGTTTAATTTATATTTTAAGCTTTAAAGTCCAGCAATGCTATAATAGTATGCGATTTTATGTTTCAAATGCATTACTTTACCAAAAAGAACATGCAAGTAAACCTCCATTCTTGTAATTCAAAAGCTACCTTTCCAGCTCTATATCATCTTTTATTTAATTTGATATGCAATCTTAGTGTCTTTCTACAAAATTATTTACACACCGATATTTCAGTTCAATTAATATTTCTATTTTGACGTTTCTAAAATGACTACCAAAAAATGTTTCTATACTTTTAAGTAATGCCCAAAAGCACCTAACAAAGAACAAATGATTTGCCATTTTACTAAATGATAATAATAAGTTTGTTCAGCTCAATTTTGTATGGACTTGAAAATTGATGTGCCCTGCTATGTCACAGCTATTTTGGATATGAAGGAAGAAAGGATAGAATTTAGTCAAAGATTTCTTAACACTTCTATTTTCATCAATTGGACAACTCAACTAATCCTTACTACAAAATCACATTTCTTCAATCGGTCAAATCCATGTTCTCCAACAGTTGTCAGGATGTCAAATACTTCTTTACTGCTTCAACATGTGATCTTAGGTCTACCTTAGTCTCTTCATCTCTTCTCTATTTAATTACTCCAGCTAATGTGTATCCTTAGCCTACATTCAATACTTTGAAACCATTCAAGTCATCTATTAAATTTTTATTAGCTGGACAAAACCAATAACGATCAAAATCATCAATGCATAATGCATTTAGTTTTTAATCATCTACACAGAGACTTGGGAAAGATGAATGGCTTCATATTATTCTTTCCATGATAACCAACTAATTCTAGAACTGAATATTTTCTGTTTCACTAGGTTTGAATTTAATTTATCCGTTCAAAACTTAGAAAAGGTCATATTTCTATTGAGGCTAGCTCTGTGCTGTATATAAAAGTATTGCTTTTAAAACAAGCCAAACCAAACAAGACTAAAAACTATAGTAAACCAAGAACTTAACATTCTATCATGATATGCTCCATGTTGTCTCCTTATGATATGTACTATCAACAGATAATATCTCCTATGACCTCAATTAATAATTCAACGTTAAAGTAGCAGTGAAAACCTGATCCAAAGAGCTGAAATTGTCACGTATAAATGTGTCTTGCTGCCTAGGCCGATAGTTGTGATCCATTGAACTTCCTGCATGTGATGGAGATTCATAAGAAGGTTGATGCCAAAAGTCCGTGTGAGAATCATCATATCCTGATTCAGTATTCCCCATACCTGAGGAATGGGTAACTTTATCAAAAGACAAACATGCCTTTACAAGTTTCAGGAAATACTCGTTTATTCTTATTGACAAATACCTCGAATGAAAATCGCTGCAAATTTAACTCATGAGAAACAAACAAGTATATGCAAGTATGCATTGAAAACATAACTACTTGAACTTTTACTGCAACAATTGCATAAGGTGGAACACTTAGTTTCCATTTCATGCATTTTCTCTTGGTACTTCTATACAAGAGTTTCTAAAAACTACTAAAGGTAAAAAACCATGACAGTCAGGTATTGAGATTTTCTCACTGCTTGTTAACCACTTCTTTTGGAAAGAGTTTTATTCCAGCATATGTGTTCCAATGAGAAACCAAAATCTAAGACTTAAACTAACTATTTTACACTATAATAAGATCTAAGACATAAATCAACTTCAACAATTGCTAGCCTGCATGCTGAGACAATTTTACCAAGGTTTTGAATACAAAAGCAAACAATACTTTTGAAAAAAAAAAATTAGATTAAAACTGTAAATTTTGGGACATCGAAATGCATGATCTTAATTTTATATGGAACAATTCTATTAGCATTTAATCAATGATTTTGCTTTTAACAAATGGCGTTTGCTTTATTGGAAACTCTTGCGGAAGTAAACAGCAAGTAGCAAAAGTAACAAGCAAAGAAAGTTAAACTATGAGAAACAAATATATAACCCTAAAAACTAAAAATAAAAAAATTTTAAATTTTGTTTATCTATCATAAATCATATAATTTCCCTTTTAAATGCAATAGGAAGCTGAGAAACTATGAATAAAATTGAATCTAAAAACAGCAGTTCAAAGTTGAATTGCTCATTCCAAATTTTCCTTTTTAACGTTTTTCTATAATTTTCTCTCTGCACCAACTAGAGATTTATGGAAAAAAATAAAACTTTTCTTTCAGATGGAATTCTTTTTACTCTGTTTCTTTAATTTCTATTTTCTTCCGACTCAGTTCCCAGCAATAGATATATTATATATATATATATATAAATCAGTTCAAATTCCGTTCCATCAATAAAACTAACAAAAATTTATATCCACACCAAATAAATGAAGATAGAAACAGATCAAAGAGAGACCAAAATTAAAAAAAAAAAATCATTTGGATGGAAAGAGAGACAACTTTGTAGAGAAAGTTACCTTTCTGATTAAGACAGAGAAGAAAAATAAACAGTGGTGAAGATTCAATCCGATTGAAGATTTTTTTCAGTATAAACCAGTCATGTGTTGAATAAAGACACTTTTGTTGACGATTCGCTCTCTCTTTTCCTTCTTTATTGTTTTTTTATTTTATAGTTTCTTGTCGGAGCGGTTCACTTGTTTGATTTCAGTTTGGATCCAACTCCTACACGACCATTTAGATTGTCTTATGTCACAGTCCAATAATTAAGTTGGATTCATTGGGTTCGGCCCGTAACGCATCATCATCATCATCATCATCACGTAATATATATTAAATTATTTTTTTCACATATATCTAATATATAAATACTACTGTTTGAGAAATTACTGTTTAATTCCACGTGTCAAACAATAAATTTTTTTTATCACTTATTCTTTTTTTCATCTCTTCTCTATAAACCGTAGGCTCTTTTTCTGAAAAAACCACGATTGAAGCTTCTACCCAACCTAACCCAGAGCACTTAAGTCTCACCCTCTCCTCTTACTTGCAAACCAAAAAGAAAGTAAACAAAAATCACAATCCACAAAAAGACCCACATTCCACATAGAAATGTTAATGAATAAGATATGAGATAAAGCATTTTTTATTTTTATCTTTAAATTTTTATATTATATATATTTTTATATTTGTATTTAATAAATATTTTAAATTTATCTTCATCTATATATCTATTAGTATTTAATAAGTATGGATAATCTTCATACCATAGCTTTAAAAAAAATAAAAAAATATTTTATTATTTTAATATTTTTTATTTTTATTTTGTATATTTAACTAATTTTTTATAATATATATATTAATATATATTTTTTCAATAAAAATATATTAGTTTTAATTAATCTAAAATAATATTTTTATTATTCAATAAAAAATTTATTTACTAAATATATATAAATATATAAGGTACAAGTACGAAATGAGTGCTAATTACTCGTTCACATCATCTTATCTAATAAAAATTTAAAATTATATCCAACCTTATACAATATTCATCCCTATCTTCATTCGAGTAAAATATCGAGCTCTCCATTAGGTATGGATAAGACTGATCTCCTTAATTCCACAAAATACCAAACTAAAAAAAATCAAAAGATATAAAAAAAGAGTTTCAAGGCTTAATTTTTAGGAGAAAGGAAGACCTTGGAGAGGAGCTGATACACGATTTAAAAGTCTTCGGATAGACAGAAAATGATGTTTTTTGAATTTTAGTCTGGAACATTAAAGCTAGATCTAGCAAGTTTGAATTAGATTTTGAAAAATCCATTAAGATAAAAGTAAAAATGAGAAAACAAGGAATTTTTTGTAATTTTTTGAAATTTCTAACATCGATGATTGATGGCTAATGATAAAAACAGCAACTAGCATGGCAACTGACCATCGAAATTTGATTTTAGAAGCTGTTGGTTTTTATAGAAATGAGAGAGTTTCATAGGACAGAGTTTGAAAGAGTATGTGTTTAGAAGGGTTTGCCTACAATAAAGTCGCAATATATTGACTTTAAAATCAGGTTATAAAATATCCTAATATCTCATGATATATCATGATAAATTATAAAAATAATATAATTTTTTAAAAAATAAGAAAAAAAGAAAGAATAGGTTAACATGTAGAAATTAAAAACGTATATATAATTTTATTTAACATGTAGAAATTAAAAAAGTATATATAATTTTATTTAATGTATTAATTTAACAAATAAAAATGATATATTTTTTAATTTTAGAATATCAATTTATTTTACAAAATCAAATTAATTAATTATGTTTAATAATATTTTTTATGCTTTTCTTATCATTAAATTTACAATTATTAAAACTTTTTTAGGGATAAGACATTTCAAACACATTTTACGTCTAATAATATGAATTTTATAATTATTATCATCTTTTTTGTTAACAATTTTTTATTTAAAATCTTTTAATTTAAAAATATCAATTATTTACATTATCAAGTTAATTATTTGCTTTACTTTAATTTTTTGTTATGTTTGTTCTTCCTTTTCGTTTTGTTAAAATTATCATAACTTTTTCTTAAGATGTTACGATAGCTCTTATTTATTTTACGTCAAATGATACTAATTTTACAATTATTTTTACTTTTTATGTTAACATTTATTTTTTTGTTTGAAATGACTTTTTATTTATAATAATAATTATTTTTATGCTATCAATTTAATTATTTACATTATAATAATATGTTTTTACACTTATTTTTATCTTTTATTATATTTAGAATTATTATGACTTTTTTTAAGGTGTAACAACACTTCTAATACACTTTTATGCTAAATGATATAAATTTTACAATTATTCTCACCTTTTCACGTAAATACCTATTTTTTATTAAATTATTTTTTATTTATAATAATAGTTATTTTATATTGTTAACTTAATTATTTATATTAGAATTTTTTTTTTTACATTTGTTCTTACATTTGATACATTTAGAATTATCAAAACTCTTTCTTAAGGTGTTACGATAATTTTAATTTATTTTATGTCAAATGATATTAATTTTACTATTATTCTCATTTTTTAACGCTAACATTCTTTTTTTATGCAAAATTATTTTTATTTATAATAATAATTCTTTTACGTTGTCAACTTAGTTATTGATGTTACAATAATACTTTGTTTATGATTGTTCTTATTTTTTATTATGTACAGAATTATCATAACTTTTTTTTAGAGTGTTACAACATTTCTATCTCATTTTAATTGAAATTATACCAATTTTTGATTATTCTCATATTTTACATAAACATTTATTTTTTGGTTTAGAATTATTTTATATTTATAATAATAATTCTTTTACGTTATCAAGTTATTTATTTACATGACAATAATATTTTTATACTTGTTTTTACCTTTCATTACGTTTAGAATTATCACAATTCTTTCACAAGATATTACAATACTTTTAACTCATTTTATACCAAATGATATTAATTTTACAACTATTTTCACATTTGTACATTATAACCCTTTTAACACATTTTACGTTAAATTATATTAATTTTAGAATTATTTTCATCTTTTTATGTTAACACTTATTTTTTGATTTAAAATATTTTTTTATTTAAATTAATAATTTTTATGTTGTTAATTTAATTACTTATATTGCAATAAAATCTTTTTTGCTTATTCTTACCTTTTATTATATTTAGAATTATCAAAATTATTTTTTAAGTTATTGCGACACTTCTAACATATTTTACATCAAATGATACCAATTTTATGATTATTCTTATTTTTTATATTAACACTTATTTTTTGCTTTATAATTATTTTTATTTATAATACTAATTTTTTACGTTACAAATTTATTATGTTTCAATAATATCTTTTTACATTTGTTGTTCATTTTCATTACAATTTTTTTATTAAATTATTACAATTTTTTGTTAAGGTATAATGAAATTTCTAACCATTTTACATCAAATAATACTAATTTTACAATTATTCTCACCGTTTAAATTAACTCTTATTTTTAAAATTATTTTTTATTTGTAACAATAATTTTTTTACATTGACAACTTAATTACTTATGTTATAATAATATCTTTTTATACTTATTGTTACCTTTCATTACATTTAAAATTATTATAATTTTTTCTTAAAAGTGTTACAACATTTATAACCATTTTATGACAAATAATACTAATTTTATATTAACACTTATTTTTTAGTTTAAAATTATTATTTATTTCCAATAATTTTTCTTTTACATGCTAAAAATAATATTTATGTTACAATAATAATTTTTTATACTTGTTCTTATTTTTTATTACGTTTAGAATTATCATTACTCTTAGTTAGGATATTATGATAGTTCTAATCTAATTTACACGAAGTGACACCAATTTTATAACTATTCTTACCTTTTTACGTTACGTTATGATACTTCTAATATACTTTATATCAAATGATTTTAATTTTACAATTATTCTTACATTTTTACATTAACATATATTTTTTTGTTTAGAATTATTTTTTATTTATAATAATAATTTTTATGTTATCAACTTAATTATTTACGTTACAATAAAATCTTTTACACTTATTCTTATCTTTCAATATATTAGAATTATCACAATTTTTTTAAGGTATTACTATACTTCTAATATATTTTACGTCAAATGATATCAATTTTATGATTATTCTCACTTTATTATATTAACACTTATTTTTTGGTTTAGAATTATTTTTTATTTATAATACTAATTTTTTTACATTAACAATTTATTATGTTTCAATAATATCTTTTTATATTTGTTGTTACTTTTTATTACGTTTAAAATTATTATAATTTTTTTCTAAGATCTAATGATACTTTAACCATTTTACATTAAATGATATCAATTTTATGATTATTTTCACCGTTTTATGTTAACTCTTATTTTTTATTTTAAATTATTTTTTATTTGTAATAATAATTTTTGTATATTGCTAACTTAATTATTTATGTTGCAATAATAACTTTTTATAATTGTTATTACCTTTCATTACGTTTAAAATTATCAAAACTTTTTATAATGGTGTTACGATAATTTTAACTCATTTTATGTCAAATGACACTAATTTTATTATTACTTTCACTTTTCTACGTTGCGATACTTCTAATATATTTTATATCGAATGATATCAATTTTACGATTATTCTTATTTTTTTATATTAATACTTATTTATCGGTTTAAAATTATTTTTTAAGTTTATGATAATATATGAAATTCCAAAAATCCTAAAAAAAAAAAGCTGACAAAAAAACTAGAAGTCGATAAAGAAACAAAACATAAAAGAAACAAAAAGTTAAAGGAAAAAAAAAGAAGTCATAAAAAAGATATCAAAAGAAGAAGAATATTAGCAAATTTAAAATTCTTTTTATTTTATTTAATAAATAATATTTAATTTTAATTAATTAAAATTAAGTTAACTTGTTAACAAATAATGAATTATTTTGTAATAGATAATTAATTATTTTTACAATTAAAAAATAAACAATGATTTATATTAATTTTTGTATATATAATGGTTATTATTCAATAACCTTATAATAAAATCAAAAATTTTAAATTTATTGTAAAAGTTTCCGTATTTAGAAAGAAATAAAACAAATTGCATTCAAGAAAAAAAAATATGTTTATATTAAGCGAGAAAAATAAAGACATGGCAGTTCTAGTGACCTGCTACCCTTAATCTTCTTCCTTTTGTAGTTTAGTTGATTTTTTTTTTCATTTTTAGAATTCTTTTCCCAAAGCATATTTAGCTTTATAAATTAGGATGTAAAATTAAAAAAATAAAATATATGAGATAATAAAAAATTGTTAATTTTTTAATAATTATTGTGATTATTATATATTTAATATTTGTTGGAAGTGGTAATTTTCTTAATAATAATCAAGAAACGAACTTTTTCAAAATCTTACCAAAATGATTGAATCAATTTTAGAATTTTTTATAAAATAATTTTACTAACTTTTTAATAATAAATTTAAAAATTAATAAACAAAAAATTTAGAAGCAAATAAACAAATTCAAATATGAAATTAAAATAAATCAGAATTAGTGATTTTATTGAAAATTTTAAAAAAATTTTCAAATCTCACCAAGAGTGTTGTGGGTAAGAATTTAGAAAATTTTCCATAAAAGAAATTTTATTTGCTTTTTTTAAATAAAATCATTTATAAAAAATTTTGAAAGTAAATACAAATTTTCTAATGGTGTAATTAAAATTAAAATCACTATGTGATGATTTTATTGAGAATATTACTAACTGTGGTTTAAGTGAGTAGTTTAGAATTTGGGTTTTTTTCATTAGTTTTATATTATTTTTGCTACTCTTATGTAGTTGTATACTATACAAGTATAGTTGAATCAATTGGCATATGTCATTTTTATATTTATACAGGTTTTTAGTTACCATTTTTTATATTGTAGGCTATTATTTAATTTTAAATTATGTCTCATTTTAAACTCATTTAATCTCTCAATTGTAAGATGTTATGTGCATGATATATATTTTGAACTTTAAATTATATATTTTTAATAAAAATTATTCTTTGAATTTTTATTTTTTTTCTAATTTAACATTTTATTTAATCAAATATTTAATTTTTTGTTTTTAACTTTTTAGAATTTTTATAAAATTTTCTATATTTTTAATAACTTTTATGTTTTTAGAAATTTTTTACATTTTTTAATATTTAAATTAAAAATAAATAAATTATAAAGAAGATATGAGTTTTTAAAATTTATTTTGTTTTTGCTATATTTACAATGAAAGAGCATAAGTTTGAGGTAAAACAGAAAAATAACAAAACCATAAAAGCTTCTAATTTCATTTTATTTTTTTAGTTGAACAAGATAAGAAATATGTCAAAAATTTATAAAATTTGTAAACTATTTTTTAAAAACAAAAATTATTATAAAAATTTCTAAAAAGGATAAAAATAAAAATATGGAAAATTTTATAAAAACAAAAAAATTTAAAAATAATAAAATTAAATATTTTGTTTAAAAGGTTAAATTTTGAAAAATACAAAACTTTCAAAAAATGAAATTAAGAAAATTAAAATATTGAAAAATAATTTTAATATTTTTAAAAATGTTAGAAAATTTATAAAAAATTTGAAATATTAAAATTTTATATTAGATAAACTAAAATTTCAAATTTTTTGTAAGAATAGGAGCTAAATTTAAATTTTTTGTAAATATATGAATTATTTATATAATTTAACAAATAATTTCAATTACCAAAATTATCACATCAGCAAAAACCACAAAATTAAGCTCTATTCATCAAATTAATAATCACATCAATATTTTTAATGATAAAAAATTAATAATTATTTTTAAATTAAAATAATATAAAAATTAAATTTATATATTTGAACTAAATTTTAAATTTTAATAAAGCATGTTAACAACAGTGTCTAATTAGAAAAAGAAAAAAAAAAAATGACGTTACCGTCTTCCTCGTCTCTTCTTTCAATACGTGGATACTTGTTATTTTGGCCTTGAAAATTTGAGATAATTCCAGATAAGCACCGAGCAGTCTTATACGCTTCTTTGTGTTTCTAAGATAATTTCACTTCTTCTTCAAACTAGGGGTTTCGCTCGCTTCTGCAAATTGGATTGTGATTGATCCTCTGGTTTGCGAGATCCAAATTAAAAATCGTGGGCGTTACCAAATTCTTAACTTTGAGTTCGGTATGCCATTGCCATCTCTAATTTCTAGTTATAGTCTTCAAACCTTCAAAATTCAGAGATGACTGGTGTTGTCTACCCTAATAAAAAATTTCAACAATGAATCTGAATCATGCACTCTTTTAGCTTTCGAATTTAATAGTTAAAAGCCGAAAATTAGGAAAATTTAGGAGAGTTTAGCTTAACTTTTTGGATTGCTGTACTGACTGACATTTTGCTAGGGCAAAGAGAAGAAGAAAAGATGGCGAAGAGGGGAAGAGCATGCGTGGTGGTTCTCGGAGATCTAGGCCGCAGTCCTCGTATGCAGTATCATGCCCTTTCCCTCGCGCGTCAGGTTTTCCAGCAATTTTCTTTTGTTATCTCGATTTCGCTTTGAATAACTATTATGGGTTTTGTTTCTCTTCCAAAATTTAGGCTTTATGTGCTTGATTTTGTTGGTTGAAACATTTATATTAAGCAAAATGAAGTTTAGTAAATGCAAAGGAAACAATTTTCACAATATTCATTCCCAAATCCTTTTATTGTAATCCTTATTGACTTGCAGTATGAATTTATTATGTCATGTAATGATGGGTATTGGCATGAAAGATTGTTGTCATTGTTCTTATGATGAATAACAACTTGCACTTATCTACAGAAATAAGGTATGGTTTGGTTTTTGCTTTTATTACTCTTTTTCTTCGGAAGCGAAAAAGAAAAAAGTGAGTTTGGATACAAAAGAAAATTAATTTCTTTGAAGAATTAAAAGTTCAAATTTTATTACTCAAAAAAAAAAAAAAGTTCAAATTTTAAGTTTTTGTTTGTGGACAACAAAGTGCAGCAATTTAGGTTAATATGGAATAATAATTATGTTAGGATTGGTGTTGCATTTTAGGCTTATATTAATTTCAGTTATGATTTTGCTTTCTACCCTTTGCTTTGCTTTATATTAGTAACTTTTCAGGAAGCATATAGCAATTAGAAAATAGCTAAAAGCAAGTGATAAGAAGAATGACCTAATGGATCCTAAGTAATTGGTTTGTTTGGAAGGAGGCTTATACAAATGCTTAGTTGCTTATATGCATGTGTATCAATTCTTCTTGTTCATTAGATTTTGATGGGATGCATATACCCCCCAAACTCTGCATCAGACTACATCTACACTGTTTTGTAAAGTACCTAATTGATCATCATAGGAACAAGGCTCAACAATAATTTACAGAAATGGTTTATGTGGGAATTAGGGTAGTTGCAGGTGCGCGGGCCTTTTGCTGTTTATGACTCTCTACGTACTTTTGTAAAACACTGTTGACTTTCTGTCATTCTTTATGAGACATCATTGTGCTACTATGGTTGCCTTGTGTTCTTAAATTTTCCTTCAATACGTGCCTACTCCTTGGTGGATACTTGTGGACCATTACCATAGCTTTTAGAAGGCTTAGTTGAAAGAAATATGGTTCTCGGAAAGACTGTCTTCTACAACTTGCAAGCCATCATACTTTTAGTTATTGTATTTGAAGAAAATTTTTTGTAAGGTTAGCTCTTGTAAAATTAGACAACTTCTAAAAGTTCATGGAAAATAAGTACTTTATTATTTATTTATTTATTTTTGGGTGCGGCAAAATAAGTACTTACTGATATGCTATTTTTATATGTCCAAATAGGCTTGCTTGCCCTTCCTGTCCCCATGTCTCTGCCCTTGCTTCAAAAGAGGAAAAGTAGTAAACTTGATGTTTTTATAGATTCTTGTCCTGTATAGTCACATGCTTATCTAACCTGTCCTAAGAAAAGTAGAAAAACTGAGAGGAAAAGGGGGAAAATCAAATATGTTAAGCCTCTTGTTTAGGAGGTGCGGTTATGTCTCAAGGCTGGAAGTTCTTGCAAATATGTGTTTAGGACTATTTGGGTTTTGTTTTTGATGTTATGAATCAAATTACAAGAAACCAGGCTGCCAAAAAAAAATAAAATTACAAGAAACTAGTTCCACAATCCACTATCTATTCTGACATAGTATAATGAAAAGTTCACTGTTACAACGAAATGCTTAGATCTTTTAGCAGTAATGACAATATTCTTCTGAAATATGTGAGATGCTTTTGCTGCTCTCAAATCTAATAATTCTAGATCACTTGTCAAATATTTTGATAAGTGTTAGCAACTGTACTCCTGGGAACACCATAGATATAAGCATATAATTTTCCTTTATGCTATCTGGTTATTTCTGTCCAGCACCTCCACCCTATTCAAAAACAAATAAAAAGGAAACAGTATGTTTGTTATAACCTTGTGAATCATAAGCTGTATAGTCCCATTGTTTATTTTTTGTAAGATGCTCATTCAGAGTTCTCATTCAAAAAAGGAAAAATAAATAAGATGTCGATTCTTCTGATTTCAATTCATTTGCAGGCATCTTTGAAAGTGGACATTGTTGCATATGGAGGTATAAGTTTCTACCTAATGATGAGTTAAACTGGATGCCTTTTTTTTTCTCTGCCATGGAATATGTATTTTAGTAAAATCATTACGAGAGGATTATGTCTCTACTGGTTAACAGTTGTCAATAAGAATAATGCTAGGAAAATTTACCAGCAGAAAAGAAGTTTATATATCCCAAACTATGAACCAGATTTTTGCATTATGCAGTAAATATGAGAGATTATACTGTCGAAATGCTAAATTTAAAGAGAGTATCTTAATAATTTATTATCTTAATAATATACTAGTTGTTTTTGGTTAACAATAAAGATGCCAGTTGAATGATGAATTTCAATGTTTTATAGGTTCTGAACCCCACTCTGCTGTTCTAGAGAATGAATCTATTCATATTCACACAATGGTATGACCTGGAGGACTATTTTTGGGCTAAGGTATTATTACAAGACTGTTGTCTATTATTTAATTTTTTTTCTCATTTGCAGATACAATGGCCAAAACACTCTCATAGCTTGCCAAAGATACTTGATCCACTAATGCTCTTATTGAAGCCAATCATTCAGTTTATAATGCTTCTTTGGTTTCTTTGCATCAAAGTTCCTCCTCCTGATGCCTTCATAGTGCAGGTGAGTTTTTAAGTTCCGCTAGAGAGAGCCCAAGTTCTGTTTACTCTCGTCTGGCACAAACAGTATTAACTGCTATTGAATGTTTTCTTGGCTTTTTCACTAGAATTTGACGTTGAATCCTTTGTATGGAATCTGTCTCTCAAGAGTTTTTTTTATATCCTATCATGATGTAACAAAACTTTCAACTAAAGGTTAACCTCAAATTCACTCTTTTGTTTATTGCTTGAGAGGTGGAGGACAAAAGTTTTCTAAAGCTTGAGTGATTATGGAATGGCAGGCTTATGAGCAATGTTTTTCAATAGATAGATAGATAGATAAAGGAATAGATGAAAGAAGTAGGGGTTATTTTCTCTCTAATTATTTAGTTACCTTTCTTTTCTTTTCCTATTTAAGCCAGAAAAAAATATTGGATGGGGTGGGTGTGCAGAATGCCTGAATAACATCCTCATCATTTATTAAAAGAACAAGGGACATTTTTTGTACTATATTCTGATTAAGCTTTGTAGTTGTGTTTTTCTAGTGATTCTTCTTTATCAAGCTAGCCATGCTTTTTACGTATGGGATTAACTACAGAATTTATCTCACACTTAGTACTTCAAAATTTTCTGTCCATTGCTTGCAATTTCAAGCTTTCATATTAACAATGATAAAATATTAGCTCTCCATTTACATTGCTAAGTTCTAGTAGCCACTCCTTTTGTAATGATATGTAAAGTCAGCTTTTTTTATTTCTTTTTTGAAAAAAAAAATTCATGTGGTACATTCTTATACATGATCCATATTCTTTAAAAAAAAAAAAAACCATTGTGATTTATCCATAGATGATTATTATAACTTATTCATGAAATACCTTTGCTAATGTCCGCATGATAGAAGGCCTATATGGATAAGTGATGATGAAACCTTACTATCATAATTTTTTTTTCATGTATGGCATCCCATTGGGATTTGGGTTAAGCAATGATAGGTAACTCTCTTATTTCATATAAAGCGACTGCTTTCCTCAAAGATTCTTACCTAAGACCTGTAAGCTGAAAGTCTTAAGTTCTCATGTTAAAATTTTGTAATGGTTGGTCACAGTTGTTATGTCTTTTCTTAAGCACCTTATTATTATATCTCTAAAAATGTATCAGTATAATATTTTCTGTTAACTGTTTTTTCTCCTTATCACAGGAAAGTTGTTGATGCCTTTTTTCATTAGATACATTTAGCTAGGAATCTTGCCCTTCTTTAAATTTTATGGAATATTAATCTCTTTTTTCCCCATAAAAATATCTTAATTTTCCTCCATTTATGTAGAATCCTCCTTCCGTTCCAACATTAGTGGCTGTAAAATGGGCAAGTTCTTTGAGACAGTCTGCATTCATCGTTGATTGGCATAATTTTGGATATACCTTACTTGGTTTGTCCCTGGGCAGAAGCAGTCGATTTGTTTCAATATACCATTGGTAAGACACAGTTGCCTTCTAATTTTGTTATTGTGAAGAAGACTTATCTTCAGCTGTACAGTGGATGGATGTGATTTTTAAATCTGCTTAGGCTTGAGAAGCGTTATGGGCAGATGGCAAATGGTTCCCTATGTGTAACAAGGGCAATGCAGCATGAATTAGCTCAAAACTGGGGAATTAAGTAAGATTTTGCTCATGGTTGGTTACTTATTTTAATTTTGCACTATGAAATTTTATGGGAAAATGTCTAACTGCACTCTATTATGATTAAATTTATAGAGCCACAGTTTTATATGATCAGCCTCCTGAGTTTTTCCATCCAACTTTGCTTGAGGAGAAGCATAAGGTGAGATTTATGTTTTTAAGTTGAGTTCTCATCAAGATTTCTGGTCTAAGTATTATTTTGTAATTGTGTTTCTTTCTTAGTTGTTTTGTAGATTAAATAGATATCTTTGTCACCCTCTTGGTGTTCAAGATTGTGTAAGTGCTGGTTAGTCTAATAAACAATCAACTTTACTTTTGATTGAGCAGCATGGTTAAACAACGCTGTTTGCTGATTTTAACCATCATGCAGAAACTGCAGGGATTGGGAGAGATGACCAAAACGAAACATTATTTACAACCCAGGTTGGTACTAGCATCTTGTTCAAGCCAAACAGGCCTGCTCTTGTTGTAAGCAGTACAAGCTGGTGAGGCCATCCTCTATGAAGGTTCTATTCATGTACTTCTTGGAGCCAATATTTCTACTCTCTTTTCTTCTTTATTGTCTCTCTTAATTGCCCGAGCCTTATTAAACTTTTACCTATTAAAAGTGATAATTAGAAGAAGATGCTGATAGTTGTTAGTCTATGGAATATGGAAAATGCTCAAGTTGATCCAGTTTTGTTCTTAATATTGACTTTTTACATGATATCTTTTTTCTAATATGTTTGCTAAATCAATATTGTCTTCTGATAGTAGCTTCTGATTTAGATTATTTCTCTGTTTTGGTTGCTTTAGACTCTAAATAGAAGAAGTTTACCTCCCGTTCTATTTTAAGATGATTTAATTTCAGATGTAAACATTTTCTCCCTTTTATTGAAGGATACATGTACTCATTCTGCATGAATAAGATATTGATACATCTGTTAAGTGATTCATTCTAGAGAATAACCTCTTTCCAGGACTCCAGATGAAGATTTTGGGATTCTATTGGAAGCAGCAGTAATGTATGATAGGCGAGTTGCTGCTCTGTTGGATGAAAATGATTCCACTGATGAAGGGGTCCTTTGGAAGGAGATCTCCGGTGGAAAGCAATACTTGTATCCAAGGTTGTTGTTCATCATTACAGGTAATGGTTCTGTTTATCCTAGAAGCAGCATCTTTATGTGGGTCCCTTTTTTCTTAAAATTTTCCAATATTGATTTAGGTAAAGGTCCTGAAAAGGAAAAGTATGAAGAGAAAATAAAGAGGTTAAACCTCAAACGTGTGGCATTTCGTACCATGTGGCTGTCAGCTGAGGATTATCCACTGCTTCTTGGTATGATACTTGTCATCAATTTTCTGTTTTCTTCTTCCTTCTAGCTTCATGTTTAATATCCTTATTCTTGCGTCATTTTACAGGTTCTGCAGATTTAGGTGTTTGCCTGCATACTTCTTCCTCAGGATTAGACCTTCCCATGAAGGTATGTCATTCTTGGTCTCCTGTTAAAGCTTTATTATGAAAAGAACAATGTGAAGCAACAAAACCTTTCTCTCACTTCACTGAAACCTTTTGGCCATAACTGAAACTTGTATTGGCTGGTAGGTGGTGGATATGTTCGGTTGTGGACTACCTGTATGTGCTGTTTCCTTCTCCTGGTAGACTCTAGTTGCATCTATCTTATCAGTTCATGGTATCATTGGTTAATAATTCGACGTGCTTTAATGCTAAAGTCTCTTTTGTAATTTGCTACTGGTTTGACTTATCTGAAGCATCGATGAACTTGTTAAAGTTGAGAAAAATGGACTGCTCTTTTCATCATCATCAGAGCTAGCTGATGAACTCTTGGTAAGTTTTGTATACTTAACGAGGTCAGTTGGTACTTGTTAGTAAATATGGATGATGCACAATCTCTTCTACAATCTCACCCCATATTTAGAAATTAAGATATTTCTTTGCCTATAAAAAAGAAAGAAAAAAAGAATCCCCTAATATGAAGTTGTCTCTGTCAGCAAAATCCTTCAAAATTCTCTCCATTTCTCTTTCTCCCAGCCTATTGGTGCGTCACCAATAATATTAATGTATTTTCTCCTTGGTGTCCCTGTGATGAATTTACAATGCCTGTACCCTCAAATTCTTTGATTGGAATCTATTGTGTGGAGGTGATCTCATGTTTTCACATGTTTGGCTGTTGAACCTTATTCTAATTAAAACCAGAATGACTAATTCAATAGTTGATTATTGTTTTGTAACATATATTTCTAGAGACATGCTATGGTGGTTTCTAATTTTCTTGGCTTTTCTATTTTCCTTATCAATGCTGGCAGATGCTCTTCAGGGGCTTTCCAGATGAATGTGATTATCTGAAATCTCTCAAGAATGGTGCATTGGAAATGGGTTCTTCAGCAAGATGGGACAGCGAGTGGGAAGAACATGCTAAGCCATTGATATCAGAGGTTAGTTGACTCGTCCTTAAGCCTTTTTTTCCTAGTTCTCTTGATTTTTAATGCCTGTTAGCTATATTTCTCTACAAACCAATGTCAAATTGAATCAGTATGATCTTTAAGCATCTAATGACAGTTACTAGGTTTTGTTATGCTTGTAATAATGAGTTTTAATCATTTCTCTCCCTTTCCCATGGTGCCAACCTTTCAGTATGCTTTTTAACAAAAGCCAAGGGATTTTTTTAGTTTTATTTATTTATCTATTTATTTATTTTTTGAATCAATGAACAAATGGATTTCAATATGCAGGTTATATCCAAAACTTGAAATAGCCATAAGTTTCAGCTGTCTCGTGAACGGTTTTAATGATAGCAATCCCAGCCACCTGCCTCATATGTTGGTTTATAATCAATATCAAGGTGGGTTTACTTGACTCCATTTTTCCCAGGGATCATTACCATGTTTTTGTTAGAAGGAGACAATGTAGATTATATAGTCCTTATGATTCCAAAACTGACAGTTAATTTTGATTTATGGCAACATACAAATGGTCATATGGTTTGGGTTTCTCATGTTTAAAGGGTTTATGATTTGACTAGTTGGTTCTGCATCTACTCTGAAATGTGCAATGAACACTTTAAATAGATACATAGTTGTTAGTTAATGATTACCCGCTTATCGTTTCTGACAGAAATGATCATTCAAGTCAGATTAATACAAAATTGCTTATATATATATATATATATATATATATATATATATATATATATCCTATTTGGGTTTGGCAAACACAACAATGTGTTTTGAGTTTGGCGAGTTGATATCAATTATGAAACAGTAATTTTTGTATTCTATACGTGTTAAACATGAAATAAACAGATATGAATAGATTAATTGTCAGGTTTAGTTTTGACACATGGTATTGTCTGGATTTTAACTATTTCGTTTCAATATCTACGTGTAGTATAATATGGATAGTTTGATAGGTATAGTGAGCTATAACTTAATAGTCATTAAGGTGCTTTTGGTAAGTGTATGAATATTTAGTTCAAAATTTAGGTGTCATTTGTAATCATTGTTGTTGTTCTCTTTTTTTCGTTTTCAATTTCTTAAAGAAAAAAAAAAGAAGCAGGTTTGGTAATATGTTTTTTTTAAAAAAAAAAAATTTTCAAAATTGTTGAAATTAAGAATTTTTTTTTACTTTTGTTTTTGGAAACAATGTCTTCGCTTCTAACATTATTTAGAGGTAGATGAATAGTATGTATTTATCAAATAATTTCTTATAAAAATATATTTCCTCATCCATCTTGATAAGCTTTTCACATGTTAATTTATTATTTGACGAAAATTTGAACTTTGATTTCATTCTATTTTATTTATCATTATAAAAATGTAAAAAGATATAAGAAATTATTTGATAACAAGGGTTAAGAGTCCACGCTCAAAACGTTCTACATTCGAGAGCTCAATTGAACACCAGTGCATCAATACAGTTACAGAGATTTGGGTGGCACACTTGAGATGCAAGGCATGATTTAGGTTCGATTTGTAGCTTCTAAAGATACAAGACATTTGAGGGATGATAACACATTTAGTTTCCATCGATTTAGATATGCATCGATTTCCATAGATAGCATTCTCAGGTACAATTACCACATAAGGCAGATTGAAGAGAATAGCGGGTCGATAGATTGATGCATTTAGCATAAAGCCTAACACCATGCACAATCACAGCATCACTTATATGTGCATTGTGTACAAGCAGTAGTATTTATGCAAATCGATCCATAACCCACAATAACTCGACGACCACTGTCAGTGGTATTTTTAAATTTTATAAATAAAATTAAGAGATTGATTTATATTACATTTTTTAATTAGTTTTTTTTTAATTCAAGAAAAATTATTTCATTCAGTGGAGTTTTTAGATTTCATAAGTGGGATTAGTAAGGTAGCACATTCTCTTAGGATATATTTACAAGTTAAAATTTAAATATGTATTAATCTTTCAATATGGCTTTTAAAATTAAAAAAATTTTACAGGTAATATATCAAATATTAAATTTTTTTAATATATTTTAATGGATATGTGTTACTTTACTAATTTCTAATTGTGCAGTTTAAAAATTTCTTGTAATTTTCATAAAGTAAATAATATTCGAATTTCGTGATGTAAATAATATTCGTAATCTTAAACATTGAGGTGTATGCCATTTTGATGTTTATATTTTCAAGTCATTTATTAATATCTGTATTCATAAAGTTTTAATGTTTTGGACTCTAGTCCTTTCTCGTTCGTTTGAGCGATAATTCAGGCGTGAAATATGAATTTGAATTATGTGTATCACATGTAGTGTTGTATGGCAGTTGCGGAATATTTTATTTTACAAAATAAAAGTATATTTTTAAAATAAAAGTATATTTTTAAAATAAAAAAATATATACTTTTAAAAACATTCCTAATATTCTAGAATTATACCACATAAACGTTTGATCCATAGTTTTTAATTGATATTAGTAAATATTTGTTCATAACCGTTTTTAAATTTTTTTTTTTTGAAGAAAACCTTTTTTAAAATTTTAAATTTACTCGATGAAGGGGCAAAGTAGTATATAGATTTATACCGAAGAGAGTAATGCAATTTGACCCTACTCTTTTTGTCCTTATTGATGTGACAATTTTATTAGATAAACTAAAGGTAAGATGAATCATTTGTGGGAGATTAATTTATTGGTAAATATTGCAATGTTTAAAATTAAACTAAGGAATGCCTTTCAAAAAAATTAAATTAATGAATTAATTTTGTCATATATATAAGGAAAAGTAAAAATGTAGGGTTTAAGAAAATTATTTTTCTTCAAAATTATGATTATTTTTATCCCACTTTAATTGTAATCATTAATCAACTTAATTTTTTTTTGTTAATTCTTAAATTTTGAATTTGTCTTCTCAACTAATTAAATAAGTATGTTGTAGCTAACTTTCCAATTGTAAGTTATTTTATGCTTCTTGCATGCAAAATCAATTCCAAATATATATTTTTTATTTATCTAACAAATATCAATTCCAAAACTCATAATAGAAATATAGTACTAACTAATTATTGATATTCATCTTATATATATCCACTCTTCATATATATATATACTAGTTTTAAATTCATACTATGCATGGATTGAGCAATTTATTATTTTTTGTTATATATATTATTATTATTTATAAAAAATTAACATATTTTATTTAAAAACATTTTTTATAAAAAGCTATATTTTGATGATATTTTTGTTGTTAAAAATATAATTTTAATAATATGAATAGTAAATATATATAATGGTATTTTATAAAACTTAAACCTATGATATATAGATTAAGATTATTAATTTGGTTCATAAATTAATTGGTTATTACTCATCAAACAAATTAAGATTATTAATCATCAAGTAAATTTTGAGAAACTATTTGTTAATCCTCACAACATTTTCCCTTAAATTTGTATTTCAGATCATTCATTTATATAAAATTTTCCCTAACCATTTAACCAAAAACCTTTTTATTGAAGAATACATTAGTAACTCTTAGGTTGCAAAGATAATTTAATCAATAGCAATATGCCTTCCAAAAAGAGGTCACAAACTTGAATTTAAACTAACCATTATAAAATTGTCAACAAAATCGTACCTAACATAAGTGAAAGCAATCGATATATTACATTTAAAAAATATATTACATATTCAATTGATTCATGCAATACAATCTAATATTATTTTGTTAGAAGTAAAGATGCAAGCAAACAAATTATGCATAAAAATGTTATAAAAATAGCAACTTTTACCATCTATACTAAGGTTGTTAATATCGTACTAGATAACGTTTTGATTTTTTAAAAAATATGATATATAGGTACTTGTTGTTGCAGTATATTATTTCAAATTTTTTGATTTAATACAAATATATTTATAAACATGCATGAATTTTATATTATAATATTATTAATAAGTCACAAAATAAATATGCAATATATTCAAATCAAATAAATAAGTTTAAAAACATAAGAAATAATAGCATAAATTTTTCATGATATTTTTAAACATTTAATTTGATCATATGATATTTAAATAAGTATTTTTTCATATAAATATTAAGATAAAAACAAAGAGATGAAAAAATTTAATCAAAATTTTATGATTGTTAAATTTTATAGAAGTAGTATAATTGTTTTCTTGAAAAAAAAATTGAAATATTTATAAATTTTGGTTGGAAAAAATAAATTATAAAATTACAAACTTTGGTTTGAAAAAATAAAGTATAAAAAAAGTTAAAATAAAAAATAAAGAAGCTCAACTTTTAAGGATTATTTTATCAATTAATTTTATTTTTATTATGTTAAAAATAATTAAATAACAAAATATAAGTTAAAAATTACAAAATATATTTCACATTCATGTACTGATCAAAACATGCTATTCCACCGAAATTTACCAAAATAGGTTGAAACTGACGAAAATAACCGTATTACCTAACATCAAATCCGGTACAAAAAATCATTCTTAGTTGTACCATATTTTGGTATAATTAGAACGTACTAGCCAGTATGATTGATACCGAAATGAAATTAACAACTATGATCTATACACCTAAATTCTTAAAATAACTCTAAATATATTTTAAATTTCAAGAATAATAATTAATAGTTAAACAAAAAAATAAAAATAGTAATTAGAAAGAAAATGCGTCATTTTAGAACAATTGATTTTCGAGAAAGATTGGGTGATAGCCAATTCAATAACCAATTACAAAAATATCAAACCAAACAATTCAAATCTCATATTTACGAAATATAATATCATAACGCATAACATATTTAAATTTTAATGCAAAATGTATATTCCAAACTTAAAAGAATCTCTTCTCAAAATATTTTTTAAATAAATAATTATATGACTATATTGAAGTATATATACGAAAGATTTTAACACATAAGAAATAGTAATCAAAATAATACGAAAACAAATATAAAGTGATAAAAACTTTAATAGTAGTTGACTTTATTAACTTTTGTGTGTCTAATTCATCTATATACAGCATCATAAAGGAAGAAAAAAAAAATCTAAGCTACCTTTACTCCATGGCAAAAAGAGTATCATTTCTTGAAAATTTTTTAATGGTGTAATTTATTTCTTAAGCATCTAAAAAAACCTCACTTATATAGGATAGGTCTTGAAACTAATTATGGAATGATTTATAACTTTGGAATGATTAATTGATTAAAATAAAATTAAGAATTAAATTAAGAGTAAATTAAGAGTAATTTATGCTTGACAATTAGAATATTCAAACATAATGTATGTTTAATGTATTTGGAAGAAATGAAGAGAAAGATTTTGAAAATTAGTGTAATAATGATAAATAAAATTCATTTGATTTGACATATCAAATTTAATTTTAATTAATTTGATCATTTAATAATCATTTTAAAATCAAGATATTAAAAGTATATGCATAGCTTAAAAGATGGAGTCTTACAGCCTATAATTTAAAAAATTGGAAAGTTGCATTTTTTTCAATAAATGTAATTTGAGAGTTGAGCAACATAAGAAAACCTTTGAGTGATAGAGATCAAGGAATGATTTAAAGTGAAAACTAAAATGAAAATTGAGCAATCATAAAAGGATATAAAATTAGTGAAAATTTGGAGTTATATATACAAAAAAATTTGTTGTAGGTTAATAAATAAAATAATTTTAAAATGATGAAAGTAAATATTGAAATAATAAATACTGTGAGTATATGATGATCAAATAATATCCAATTGAAAATTTAGAGTGAAATAATTTATTTCATTAACTTAATAATAAAAAATTAATTAAATATATTTCTTTTCTATATTTACAAAAAGGCTACATCAATTATTCGGTTGGATATCATATTTAATCAAACATGATTATATCAAATAATTGATTAAGTAGTCAACTCTTACATTACATACATATGTAAAAGTTAAAAGAAATTTTGAAAGAAAATAAAAATAATCAATGCATTAAAATATTTTAAATTTTATATGAAATCAAATAAAACTAATTAAATATAAGACACATGATGATTATTTAAGAGTATTTACGTGTCAAAATAATAGACTATACACATTGAATTTTTTTTTTTACCAACAATTTTGATTTTTATATATTTATATAAGATAGATATGTATATATTACATAACACCAAGTAGTAAGATGTGCATATATACAAGCATTTATCATTGAATCAAATGTTCTGTTAATTTAGATTTGCTTATATTAATAGATTCTTTAATTTTCTTGTAAGTTTATATACACATGTATCATTAGGACACATGAAAATATGTAATCATCACATACTTAATTTGCTTTTGGTACATATAATTACTCAAATCATTTCAAGCGAATGCCTAATTAAATTATTCAAAAATGTATAATGTTACTAATATTACATAACATTACAATATTATATATTCAAGTGTGTATATTAATTGCAATGAAATAATTTTGTAAAAGAAAAAAAAGGAAATATTGTAAAATAATTTCCAGTTGTTCTTACCAATGCCCCACTGAATCAATTTGGTCTTGCTGCTGTAATTGCTTTTGAATGGAATTGGGTGAGAAAGGCAAGGAAAATGGCTGATCAGAAGGCACAAAAGAGGGGTGATGAGACAATAAGTTTGCTGAAGAATACACAATATTGGTATTGTAAGGTATATTTTGTTCATGTTGTGATTGTTGCTGCTGCTGCTGCTGCTTTTGCTCGGATCTTTGCTGCTTTGGAACATTAAGCTTCTCGCCTTCAATCTCTCTATATTTGGTTAGATACAGTTTCAAGGGTCCTACATATTCCTCAAATCCTAATGTAGTGATTGCCCAAATGATGTCATCGCCATTGATGGTCTTTCTCTTTTCTCTTTGGCATTTGTCTGAGGCTTCCCCAGTGACAAAGCTAATGAACTCAGACACACATTCCTGAACAGTTTCTTTTGCATCTTTGGAGATTTTCCCATTGCTTGGAATCACCTTTTTCATAATTCTTCCAACGTTTGCAATAGGGAGAAAACGATCTTGTTCCTTGTTGTTGTTGCTGCCATTACTTTTTACACATGGGCTCTCGGGGCTCCCTCCATGGCTAATTTCATCTTCCATTTCTCTTGTATTAATAATTTCTCTCACAATGTTTTTGAGTTTTGTGGATGGATGTTGTTGGGGGTGAAATAGATGGATATAATTGCTTAAAAGGAGCCAGTTGAAGGGGAAACTCTAATTTTGCCTTTGTTTTTAACCAAATGATTCCCCAAGACTCGCTCGGATTAACTAACATTTTTGTTTAGGAACTAATTACTTTGTTGATTTCATCTTCAATCAAAATTCAAAAGTTTCTTTTTAATCAAAGATTTGTGAAAAACTCAATATATCTTATTCATTAATTTACTTGTGTTAAATTGTCTCGAAAACAAAAATTATAATAATTTGCGTAAATAATACAATTTTCAAAAATTAAAAATTGATATCTCTTAGTCATTAGTTGTATTTATAATTTTTTTTAAATTTTAACAATTTCCCCAAAAGAATAAAAATTATCACATGGAGTTCACTCTCTTCTTAAAAATACGAATAATTGATAGAAAAATGAATATGGAACTGTTAAGTAGATCTTACACTTTTGTTTATAGCATTTGTCTCTTCTATTCGGCAAAAAATTCATTAACATGAGAATTAATTTATTTGATTTATGTAATTATTTTATAAAAAATAATACTTAATCTTATATTTAAATTTTAATATTTATAATTTTTTATTCTATTTTCAAACTATGACTTTTTTTTCTTACAAAAAATTTCATTAGTTTCATTTTAATCATTGTATTTATAAGTTGACTTACCATAAATTGGTAACTCACATCCTTAAATTAAATGATAAATATTTAATAAATTAAGAAAAGAAATTATTTGATGGACTCTTCATATCTGATCCCGTCCAATAATGTTGGACAACATCATTTTTCTCCTTGTTAGATCCATTTACGTTGGCCAATACTGTTAAAAACTTTTTCCAAATGTTAATGTTATCAATTCAAATTGATTCATGCAAAATGAAAATTTCAACTTTGATTTTCTTAAATCAAGCAATCCAAATTTTAGTTTGGTGAAAAAAAGAAAAAAAAAAAACACCACGATCCTCGAAGAATTTAATGTTCCGTGTTCCCTAAAATGAAATTTGCTGCTTCTATGTCACAATTTTTATTATTCACTTATACTTTTTAAATTTTTTCATGTCAAAATGTTCGTAAATGTTTTATACATAATTTGCATAATGTCTAATTTCCATGATTGAACGAATTACAATTTACATAAAACTAAAGTTTATATGTTTTGAATTTGCACCGGTCGCTTTTATCTCAGAAAATTCAAAAAATCATTTTGTATGTCCGAGTACCTATATTTGTCCCAGCCAATGGGATTTATATTTCCATAAATGCTTCCATTTTTCATTATGAACTAATAGACTGGCATCCCATTAAAGCTTAGAGGGTTAATAACTTGGAATAACTCTTTAAGTTATATTGAAATGTTCTACATCCTAAATTAAAATAAAATAGTTAATATAATATTTAAATTTTAAAATTTTTAATATGATACTTAAATTATAAATTATTTATTTATCACATTTAATTATTTGATATTAATCATGTTAAAAATGGATATTAATTTAAATATCATGTTCAAAATTTTTAAAATTTAAATATCGCATTAAATATTTCATTATAATTGAAACATTATTCATAAAATTAACTCAAGCTTGGATAAAAAGCTTACATGATAAAAGAATAAAAATTAAAAAAAATAAATCAACAACCGTCTAAAGTACTAGATTTTGGAACAGACTAAAATTCAGTTTCTTACGGTTTCTAATATATATATATAAAAAAGAAAATAATAATAATAACAAAATACTGTAGTCAATACTATAGACATAATTAACATGATACAAGCCTTCTAGGGCAAACTTGGTGAACTAAATGCTATAAATTGCGATTAGATACGGAACAAAAGGAACACCTAGCCTCACAACTGTGCTGGTAAATATGCCAACTGACTGACTTCTGAATTTGCTGACATAGGTTGAAACTGACACTTAAAAATTACGGATTAAAAAAGTTTACACGCATAATATATTTTTGGGTCAGAAAATTACATAGATGGGGTTCAAGAGTAAATTAAAAATTTTCAAAAAAGTGGCAAACATCATGGAACGAAATGGGAGAGCGATGAACGGAAAGCACTGCACGCCTAAGCAAGGGCATATGTGATGGTCTCCACCTCTTTAGGTCGCCACATGGATTTCTGGACACACAGCAAGCCCTCCTTGTCCTTGGAGTAAGTCATGCGTACTTCCCACTGCATAGACCTTAACATATTCTCAAGCTCACTAATGGTCTCAACATTGTCTCGAACAATAAGCTTTCCTTCCGGCCTTAGCATTCGATCAACCTCTGCAACCACAGCCACTAAATTGCACCTACAAGCCCATAGACCATAGCAAAGTTAGGCTGCCAAAGACAACCAATAGAATAACCCGGCAAACGCCCTTTTACCACAAAGCTTACAGTTCAAACACAAATCAAGATCATAGCTAAACAGTTATTTTAGTCTAAGAACTTTGCTAGGACAACATAAGTTACCCATCAAGGAGAGTGTAAAAAGTGGAGTCAAGAAAAGGAAAATATTTATACAAACCTCTTTTTAACCTTGGAGAATAGATGGTCAGCATGGAGAAGATCATAAGACCTCGGATAGGTGCTAAATGATTCGCACCAATCATGATACATACCAAATAGACCTCTCTCATATATTATGGGAAGTGTGTCTGGAGAGTCAATTGGGACCACATTCATGACCCACAAATTCAAATCTTTGAGTGCCGCAGCAAATCTGTTAGCATACAACAATCAGACTCAAGGAAAAGAAGAGAAAAAAAATAAAGCAAAGAAAAAAGTAACCTTGTCAAACTGTTACATTATTCATAGTTCATGGAACAAAAAAGGAAAAGAAGATGAAACAAAAAACCAATGAAAAAAGTAATCTGTCAAACCATTATATCCTTCCTACTTCATAGGAAAAAAATTGTTGCTTACCCTCCATAAACAGCTCTCATGTCCATTACATTTCTGACAGATGACCAGTTTATTCCCATCCCATTTATGTATGACTTGACCACCCGTTTCCAGTGCTCATTGTCAGCAGCAAAATCCTCTGGTGCTGCTTTGCCATAAACTCCAACTTGGGAACTCAACAACCAATAAGGTGCTTTTTCCAACCTTTCTGGCCATTGCTCAGGCCACTGAGACCCACGTTCTGATGCATCTACAGGTACTTTATGCATGCATGCTTGCAATGGCACATTCCTATAAATAAGAATCAAATTCAAATGGCTGTTTGGATAGCTATATTGCAAGAGATCCACATTTATTCTAAAGTAATAGTGAAAAGAGCAATGACATTCTTATGGACAGGTGACCTGTTTTCTGTTTTTACAAGTCAATTAGATACTTCTTTGGTCAAATTTAGAAAAAAAGGATATTCAATAGCTAACTCAAAGAATGCAAGTTAGCATATCGTTAAACCACTCAGTGGATATTTCTAGTGTCAACTTAACAAGAAGTGTTAGATTTAGTTTTAGCCAGAATATAGTTTTTACAGCCAAGTTAAAGAGAAATATTACCAGGCTGCATTTGGATCATCCGACTCAGGACAGAGTGGAGGCTCTTGTTGTGACCTTTTCTCATAGCAGTCGTTAGAAGTAGGCTTCTTAAATGTTGCTACAGCCACCCTGTTTACTGCATCCTTACTAGTTTTGTTTACAAGCTCCCAGCACATTGCTTTTGTTAGTTCAACCATAGCTGTAGAAAATCCACACAAAATGCAGCAGCTGTTAGACACAATAAACTTCTCACATGATATCCAGAGAGAGTACAACGGGATCATATACCTTTCCATATTTCAACATCTTCAGGAATTTTCTGATAAACAGGAGTGGCAGACCACACAAAGAAACCACCAGGTCGCAGCATACGGTTCAGCTCCAAGAGGAGTTTGCCACCTGCATATTGCTAAGACCAGTGAATATTCAAGGACAGCAAATTCATAAATGCACTCCCAGAAACTGATTACTATGAGTCCAAGATGGTTATTGATTAAAAATTTATAAAATGAGGTTGTTATGTACCTTCTATGTGCCATGGTACTCTACATCGTGCACAATGAACAACATCAAATACTCTGCCAGGGTAGGGAAGTCTCTTAGTACCCATCACAGCAGACACAGCAGGAATTCCCCTTTCAAGTGCGAATTGTACTTGAGCTTCATGTTCATCTTTAGGTGCAAGCGACATGGTGAGCACATTTCTGTCAAAAAGAAAGCCACCAAAGCTGGCAACCCCACATCCAACATCCAATATTACACGAGAGTGTTTTCCCCATGCTACATCAGGCACAGACTGCAGAATAATAATCAACAATAATCACAAGATAAAAGAATGAATTACAGGAGAGGAAAAGAATGACCATGAATAAAAGTCATTTAATGCTTATTGTCATCATTGTTGGAATGCCATGGATAGTAAACAAGCATTCTTTTTAAATCATATCAAACATTTGTAGATAGATTCATGCAATCAAAATTGCAGAATGCAGATATAGAATTCCTTACAAGAAAAGAAATATATGTGATATATCATATGTGCACATAGTCAGACACAAACATATATCAACATATGTCCAGAATGCTAACGTAATATAAGCTTCTTGATGTTCCTGACATGCTCCCCTATTAACTGCAAAACAGATTTATGGATACTCCAACACCAACTCCCTTTCATTGTATCAATTAAACATAATGATTGAATGCAGCACTTTCCTCATTGGAAGAAATGCTCCAACAAAAGCAATAGTTTTCACTTTGAAGGAAATGCTCCTAATATAAGTTCATCTCCTCTTTCATGGACTATAAATTATTGTAGGTTTAAGATAATTAATAGAATAAAAATCTGCTTGAAAGCACTCATTATGTTTGCCTTTACCAACAGCCCATAAGGTTTTTTAAGTTAAAATCCACTAATTTGCTTCCTTCACTGGAGATGTGTCTTCTTCTCTATAACGTATAATTATAATATGCAATCAGTAAATCCTGAGAGGGCTTTAATTGGTAATTTTGTTATAATACAAATTTTAAGCCTATAATTATACGTAAACACAAGGTTGACTAGCATGTATTATT